AGCCAACTATTACTTATAACCGAATAGTCCTTTGAAACTTAAACTGGTACATACATTGTTTTGCAGTGCAGTGCATGAACATTGATTTACACTTGGATGCAAAAATATATGTCCTGACAGAAATCTGATCAATTTAGCAACGCTCACGTTTGTACGACTGCCAAAATCACACTACATTTACATATGAATAGGTTAGAATGCGCATGCGTATAGATACTTAGGGTGTCGAAGGATTTAGGGAGAACACCCATGATGAGAAAAACAAAAAAATACACAAGTCAATAATGTAAAAGAATATGAAAAACACAGTAAAGGCAATCTCGGTAGTTTGCGACGAGTGTGAAACTATGATTTTCAAAAAAAATATGTCTTTTTCAGCAAACATTTCTGACGGAATCAGTAACTTGAACAAGAGGTCTCACAGACCGAGGAAACAGGATTTGGAGAAAAAAAAACGTTTAACACATATTTAATGTCATGAAAATGTCACTCGTCTACAAATAGGTGAATAACGCAGTATGTCACATTTCTTCACAAATGTGGAGGTGGTACAAAAAAAAAACTGTTGTTCCATGTCACGTGGCTCAAACGACATTAGTGACGACGATCTAGAGTGGTTACCGGTGTCGATATACACCTGCTATTCATCGTTTTACTGCACAACAATAGTGGTAAAACGTTTGATGAAATAATGAATGAAGCCGAGGAAATGACATTTCGATGCGCATCAATAAGTAATTTCCGAATTGTTCTAAATATTTGAAATATTTATTCACGGTATCACGCGAACCCAATGAAAATGAGATACATTATATTTGTTGTTGAAATAAAACATACTAAATACTGTAGCAAATACTACATCTCCTGGGACTTAACACGTGAAGTCTTAGAGTACGTAAACAATAGAGTTATGATATAAAAATGATGAAAATAACATTCTCGCTAAATACTAATAGTTAGCGGTCGTTTCGATCATGTTATTCAGTAGTTCTTCGTACATATAGTTATGGTATAAAAAAACATACATGGATACATATGATGATGACGTATATTAACAATGAATCGATTTCTATATTGTCTGTGCTACCAATGCGAAGTACGTTACCAGCACTCCAATTACCTGAAATAGAGGACGTAACGTTTTAGTGCATATTATTATTTCTGTTCAAGTTAAAACACTTCAAAACCACTTTTCATCTCAAATACAATCACGAGCAATTTGTCAACTATGTGTAATCACGTGAAAGTGTCTTGCATAAATTAGCAATAATCAGTGCACGTGCATAAATCGCAAGCACCATGAATTATAATGCGACATGTAACTACGTGTATTTGTTACACTGCGTTTGGTCACATGAATAGTGTTTAGTTTAATGCGGGAGGGTCATCACCTGTGCACGCGCGGGAATTGAGTCACAAGCGACGATAACAACACACGCTAAAAACGCAAAGGCTCGTGGGTAGACGCTTGTTTGTAAACAATGACATACTGTGGCCATCTGACGCATGCGCAGATGACGACTCCCCCGCTTTACGCCACTCAGCGGAGCATTTCTGTGGTATTGCTGCCAACTACCCCAGTATGCGCGCTGTGACCAGTAGCGTTAATTACGTTCTTAATTACTGAAAACTGAATTTCAAATACATATAACTGAGTGTACGTTTTTTTTAAACACAAACAATGATGTGTTCAAGTTCTGCAATGTTACTATTCAAGTGAAGCTGTCTTACCGTGAGAATAAACTCCTTGGTTAAAGGAATTAGATTACAGATTGTGATAGCAATCGGTGTGCCGTTCATTTTGGCCATAAACATACAGACCTGGGAAAGAACAAAAATGGGTACAAAATAATAGTGCTTATTCACTGATGATAACTTTCAGGTGCATATGAACGCGTCACATTTAATAAACGAAGGGGTAAGGTATGAACTATTTTATAATATTCATATAGATCCTTCTTCCCTATAAATATTGCACGAATTACGGCTGCATCTTTGTATATAACGATATATTGCGAGAACAGTCTACTTATTATTTTTTTTTAGCAAAACCCACTAAAAGACTTACCTCTAGTATTCTGTGGTTTTCCGTACCAGGTGATATCGATATATCGTGTAGATTGTGAACTGCCGCATGTGCCTACAAGGTGAATATGAACACTGAGATGAGAAACCAGTCAGTCGCATTTCGAGCTTTTGCTGAATATTGGTTAATTTTCAAACGTAGTGAGGGACATCTTGAGTTTTAGGGATTGCAGTAAATCTGTACAACGTTATCGCATGTTACCAGGTTGCCTAGGTTGTCTAGAATTGGCCAACTAACGTTCAACGCTTCGGTTATCATGCTGCTGTAATAATTAATATGACACGATCGGTCGCATCTAGCATTTTTTATTTGATTGGGAATTTGCGACACTGGTTGCCCAAATTAGGTAAACCATAGCAACCCCAGGATTGCGACCCATAACTGCTCCCACTCGTAACCATCGCGTAAATATG